ATTGCCTTAACTCTGAGGCCATGCCCTGAACCCAACCTGCCCTAGCTGCAGTGCCCCCCCTGGCCTGAGCTACCCAAGCAGGCTTGTGGACGCCAGTTGTCGATTGCAGTCCAGTGCCTGGATGTGGGTCGTTGAGCCTGCACATGAGGCCTGCTATTCTGTGTTCTCAAACCACAGATTACAAACTGTTTGGGGAATGGATTTGTTACATGTCTGTACAAGTGTCTCGTTCAGCCTCTGTGATCTGCATATTCACAAAGAGGATGCGGGTCCCTGGTCAACAAGAGAGGAAAAGTTGGAGAGTGAGTTGTGTAGAAGCCTGCTTGTTTGGGGCTATAGTTTGCATCTGTTTTCTTTTAATAACCCCTCCTGTTTAAGATAGACAGTGATTACATATATTAATGAGGCCTTGATCCCTGACTGTGACCTCTAGAACTACTATAATAGAACTAATAAATTAAGAGAACAAAGACGCTCCACCCCTTATGGTTCAAAACAAGAACTGAGTGTAAGTGACACAGCCACATCTGCCTGAGTTTGCAGAGAGCCTGAAGCAATCGCTGAGAGAAAGAACTGCCCCAAGTGTCACAGATGCAGCGACGCTGCCTGAGTCTGCAGAGAGCCTGAGCCACTCACTCAGAGGGATGGCACATGTCCTGCCCATCTCCACTGAGTGTTAAATCTGAACCCTAATGACAACACATTGCTATTTAACCCTATCTGGGGTTGCCATCTCTTAGGATTTTATCATTAGATTTGGTGTTTAGTCCTGAAGTCGCAGCTCCTGGGTCACAGGAATACATAAGAATCTCAGCCTTCCATTAAACAGTTAAAACATTCCCAGCTCTGAGTTTGCAGAAGAAAGCTTCAAAACGTGACCCGAGTGCACAAAAGAACCCCCAAGCTTAGTGTGGCTTTCAAAATGCCGTGATTTTTAAGCCAAATCCCATGATTTTTTTTGGAGGGGGGGGCATGATGTGATTTTTTTGAACAGGGTTGGTCACCACTGCCCCAGCGGGGACACTTGGTGTCACAAGTGGGCGGGGCTTGGGTTGTGGGCGGAGCTTTGGACGGTGTTATGTTTTCCCAGTCTAATGCCAACACCTCCTGCTGTGGGCAACCTGGTCTATTGCCGTTACAAGGACTCGATGGCTCCGTCTTACCAGAACCTCTAAGCTACTGTTTGCAGCCAGAGAGGCACCGTGTGAAGCGCAGTAATTCTGGCCGGACTTCCAGTTCCCTTCCGCTTCAGAATAATAGTAGCACTTTCCTTGGGAGGCGATCCAGCCTTCTGGGCAGCAGGGGGCAGCAGACGCTCTCAGAGCGGCCATGTCAGGTTTGATGGCAGCTCCTGGTAATGCACAAGGATAATAACAAGTTAGTGCTTCCACCATCACGGGGGTGTGTGTGTGTTGTACTGGTGCTCCGGGAACAGGGTAGACACAGCTGTAATCATAGACGTGTTGGGCTGGAAGGGACAATGAGAGGTCACCAACTCTTCTGGGGCAAGGCCAAGTATACCCAGACCATCTCTGACAGGTGTTTGTCCAACCTAGTCTGAAACACCTCCAAGATGAGGACTCCACAACCTCCCCTGGAAGCCTGTTCAAGAGCTTAACTACCCTGAGAGTTAGAAAGTTTTTCCTAACATCCAACCTAAATCTCCCTCGTGGCAGATGAAGCCCATCGCTAGTTGTCCTACCTTCCGGGCAAATGGAGAACAATTGATCAATGTGCTCTTTATAACAGCCCTTAATACAGTTGAAGACTGTTATCGGCCCCCTCTCAGTCTTCTTTTCTCAAGACTGAACACACCCCATTTTTTTAACCTTTCGTTAAAGGTCAGGGGTTCTAAACCTCTGATAGTTTTTCTTGCTCCCTGATAAAAATGTGGATGAGAATAAAAAATGTGGAAAATTTTGAGTTAACAGAAAAAAAATTGCAAATGTTTCATCTGAAAACCAAACTATTTTGACTTGGAAATGTCAATGCAGTGCATCATGGGAGCTGTAGTCTTGGTGTCTGATGCTTCCATTCTCTTCTATAGGTGTGGCTCCTTGGTCAGATGCCATCTCCCATGATGCACCATGGTCTCCCCTTTAGTGAAGGGACTGTAACGTTGCAATCCTTAGCCTTATGGGAGATGAAGTCCAGCTGGAGTTCCAGCCTGGCCTCCACATGTTCCCCATAATGAGATCTTGACTTGCAGTGTCTCATTCAGCCACTAGATGGCTCTGTGATCTGCACCGAGTCGTAGACAGGATACAGGTCTCTGGTAGGGTGACCAGATGTCCCGATTTTATGGGGAGCTTTGTCTTATATAGGTGCCTATTACCCCCCATCCCTTGTCTTGATTTTTCACACTTGCTATCTGGTCCTCCTAGTGCCTGGTCAACAAGAGAGGCAAAGTTGGGGAGTGAGCTGTGTAGAAGCCTGCTTGTTTGGGACTATAGCTTGCATCAGTTTTCTTTTAATAATCCCCTCCTGTTTAACATAGATAGTTACTTCATATGTCATGACATTCCCTATGCCAGGGTTGTCTACGCTAGTAGGGATCTCCCCTATAGCAGGGGAATTCCTAGTTAGGGAGATGTTAGTTTCCATCCCGGTTATGCTCCTGGAGTAGCTCAAAGGGGGCCAGGATCTGGCCTTGCATGGGAAAGGGAAAAGAGACTTGGGAGGACAGAATGTGTAACCGAGTCGCGGAGAGGGAGCCAGCCTGGGCCCTTTCTACTCACGTGTGAAAACAAATATGGTGGCGCTCAATCCTCCGATCGCAATCAGGAAAATGAGTAGGACCATCCACGCCATGAATGTCTGGATCTTGGAGAAAGATGGATCGTCTGCAATGGGAGTGGGGAAAGCCATTTAAAATTCCTCGGGGACAAAGCTACTCAGAGTCAGAACCCAGGCTTAGTACATAGTGTAGACAGACGGTGGAGGTTTTAGGGGGAGGCAGCAAGGCAGTGGATTGCACACTGGCCTGGAATGCAGCAGACCTGTGTTCATTTCACTCCTCTGTACCTCAGTTTCCCCATATGCAAAATGGTTCAATAATACCAATCTCTTTTGAGATCTACCAATGAAAAGTGCTAAGTATTATTATTCCTGGAAGCGGGGTTTCAAACGGGCAGCGCTCCCTTCCTCTGGTTCAATTTCTGCGTATTTAAGATGAACCCACCCTCATACGATCGTTCTCCTTTACCTTTGAGTCCGACTGGGTCACCGTCCTCAGCCTGCTTCGCCAGCTCCACCATATTTATGTCTCCCCTAACGGTAGAAGTTGGCTTTGATTTTGGAAACTTCTTCCGGCTACAAAAACACAATGTTACATTGACGATACCTGAATGTTCTCTAGCCGCGCATAGCATGGGTAAGGGATGGAGAATGGGGGAAGAGCAAGTGGTGAATTACTGAGTTATTTGCTATTGGGTGCTATAAAATGATTCTTTCATCCAAAGTCAATCACAGGTCTCATTAGAACCAATGGATGGCCAAGCACCCTCTTTTAAGCTCAGAGGGAGCAATTGTGTAGAAAGAATAGTAAATATGGCAGGCGACCAGCTTGGCTAAACAGTGAAATCCTTGCTGATCTTAAATGCAAAAAAGAGGCTTATAAGAAGTGGAAGATTGGACAAATGACCAGGGAGTAGGGTGGCCAGACGTCCCGATTTTATCGGGACCGTCCCGATATTTCCTTGTTTGTCCC